GAGAAGAAGCCCTCGAAGTCGCCGCCGACGAGGCGACACACGCCCTGCAGCGTGCTGCGGATCCTCACGAGCGGCGAACACAGTCCTGCCCACGCCCTCGCGGCCTGGCTTCCAGGGCGCGATCCCGTGGATACGCAGCCGTTCTGCGCGCATCCGCGAAGCCCTGTATCCCCAAGGGCCCGTATCCCACGAGGCCGTGGACACGGATGTGGCTCGCGCCCACGAGGTCCAGTCGAACGGCAGGTGGGCCTCGCCCAGCCCGAGCTGCTGGATGGCGCACTTCACGCCGCAGAAGGACCCCAGCGACACCAGGCAGAGCCGGCGCACGGCCTCGCCTCTCCTCTGCGGGAGCGCTCCGGGGGCAGGAGGCCGCCGACTGCGCACAAACACCGACCCTGGCCTGGGGGTTTAGGGTTTAGGGTTTCGGCCTGACCGAAGGAACGATAAATAAGGAACGGACCCCCCTTTTTCCAAGTAGATCCTAGGCAGTCCGGAGGAACACCAGAGGGGCTCGCCGTCAAAAAGGTGGCGGAGCGCATGCAGACCAAAGAGGAACGACCGAGCTCCTCCTCTGAAAAGGTAAGTGTTCCTTATGCAAGCTGGGCCCTGTAGGTTCAGCTCTCGTCGCTCGACTGGGGCGGGGCCCAGGAGGGGCGGCGTTCTGAGAAGGTGCGTGCGGGGGGGGGGGGGGCTTCTCCGAAGGCGGGAGGGCTGCTGAGGCGCCCCGCCCTCTGAAGAGATCGCCCGACCCCAGACCACCTCCCGAGGTCCAGCCTGCCCAACTTTTTCGAGTCGGGTGCAAACGTGGCGACGAGACGTCACAGAAACCTGATCGGACAAGAACGGGGGGCGTCGCTTTAATGGGCTTAGTGGGCACAAGGACGAGGACGAAGAGGACCAGGGCGAGTACGAGGATGAATGCGGAGGACGATGACAACGACGACGACGACGACGACGACGACGGAGGACAGTCAAAGGCAATTGGAGAAGGACGTTGAATCAGGAGAGGGGCCTGGTGACCCTCTCGGGCTACCCTGGGGGCTCCTGGCGCCGCGCGGGGTTGTTTTGGGGCCTGTTGGGGGCTTCTTGGGGGCCTCTTGGGTCCTCTTGTGGGCCTCTGGGGTCTTCTTGGGCTGCCTGGGCGCTCCGTGTTCCAATCGGGTGCCACGGTGGCGACGACACGTCCCAGAAATCCGCCACCGTGGCACGTGGGGGCGTTCTTGATTGCCAAATGCTGTCTGGTGGAATTTCTGCAATCTTCTAACCCCCCCCGCCCCCTCTCGTGGCATCGAACCGCGCGCGTCGCCCCCTCTTCCCGAGGCCACAACCCTCCGTAGACTGCCACGAGGTTGCGCTCCCGAAGCGAAGATGCCTCGAACACGGCCCCAAGTGGCTCCCAGACGGCTCCCTGTGACCTCAAGATGGCCCAAAGTGGCCTCAAAACGGCCCAAGAGGCACACATCAGCGTTTGTCCTGCAGTTCTTCAATGTTTTCGGGGTCGCCTTTTAGAGCTTCCGACGTCCCAGGACTGCCCAAGAGGCCCCCCAAAGAACCCTAAGACGGCCGAAGAGGCCTCAAAGCGGGCCCAAAAGGGCGCCCAGGGGCCCCCAACACGTCCTCACACGAGGCCAAAGCACCCACAAGTGTTCAAACGCGTTCCATGAGGGCTCCTCAATCAATGAAGACGAACAAATAATGTTACATGTGATTGCCTTCCTCCTGCTCCTCTTCCTCCTGCTCCTCTTGCTACCCCTCCTTTACATCATCACCACCACCATATCACCTGGTCATCACCACCGTCATCCTGTCATCCGGTCATGCACTCACCCTGGCATCAGCATCATGACCATGGACACCATCAGCATCATCAGCATCAGCATCATCATCATCATCATCATCATCATCAGCATCAGCATCATCATCAGCAGCAGCAGCAGCAGCAGCATCAGCATCAGCATCATCATCACCATCAGCATCACAACCAGCACAGCTTCCTCGAGCCTGGGATACGAGGTGTCACGCGTGACGGCTTCCCGCGCCCCCTCGAACAGTCGCCACCCAGAATGCTCGACGCACAGATCCCCATTTGCAGCTCGGTCTCCAACATTTTCCGCTGGCGTGTCTGTTTGTGGGTGTCTGGGTGTGGGGCTGAGTTCGACTGGGCGACAGCTGCGACGACGACGGCGAAGGCGGCAACTACGATGGGGGACGCCAGCGATGACCCACATACAGACTGGCGGTGAGCAAACCCACGCTCGTAACCTTCGGTTAACGGGTCGAATGCCCCCCTGCGTTTATAAGAATTCGTTCAATGTTGGTGGAGGTGGTCGTTCGTTTTGGTGGCGGGTCGTGGATGTTATTGTCGTGGTTGCGTTTTTTTTTTGGGGGGGGGGGGCGTATCCTCGCCCAACACCTCGGCCCCTTCCAACTCCCCCCTCTGCCCTGCCCACGCCCGCTTTCCTGCAGTTGCACCTTCGCCTCCCCCGTCATCGGCCGCTGTGACCGCTGTTAGTCCTGCGAAGTTTCACTGACCTTGGGTAAGCCTTGCCGAGCTCGACTAAGCCTTGCTGGGCCTAGCTAAGCACTGCTCAACCCTGGTGAGATCTGCTAAGCCTTGCTAAGCTTTCGTCTTGCCAATTGCCAAGCCATGATACGTCTTGGTAAGCACTGCTTAGCCTTGGTAAACATGATTGAACCTTGCTATGCCCTGCGTCGCTCTGCGGAACCTGCTCCGCCGTGGTAAACACGGCCGCGCCCGGGTAATCATTGTTACGCCTTGCTGACCGTTGGTCGCCCCATGTCAAGCCCTGTCAAGCTTCGTTAAGACATGCCCAGCCTTGCTAAACTCGGCCAAGCTCCGCTGAGCCTTGCTACGCTCTGGTAAGCCTTGGTCAGCCCTGCTAAGTTTGCGATGCCCTGCTGAGCCCTGCTAAACTTTCCTCAGCTTTGGAAATCTCGGCTACGCCTTGCTAAGCCCTTGTCGGCCCTAGTAAGCCACTACGCCTTGATAAGCCTTGCAATGCTCTGCGCAGCCCTGGTAATCTGCTAAGCCCAACCCAATCATGGTAAGCCTTGCCATGCCGTGCTGAAGCCTGGTAAGCTCGGTCAGGCCCTGCTAAGCCTTGCTCGGCCTTGGCAAACATTGCTAAGCCCCGCTAAGGTTTGCGAAATTTAACGCCCTTCTGGGTTTTACGGCGTGTTGTTAAGCATTGGTAGAGTGTGGTAGTACAGACGCCTTGCCAAGCCTTGCTCAGCCTTGGCAGGCTTTGGTAAGCCCTGCCAAGCGCTGCGGAGCTGTGGGCCCTGCTGAGCTCTGCTGAGGCCTGCCCAGCCCTGCTAAGACTTGGCAAGCGTTGCTCAATCTTGTTCAGCCCTGACAAGCCCTGGCGGGCCTTCCTGAGCCCTGCTGAACCCTGGCACGCTGTGCTATGTCCGTCTAAATCGTGGTCCACCCTGTTAAGACCTCGCCAGTGCTGCTAAGCCCTGGTGTGTTCTGCTAAGCCCTGCTAAGCTTGCAAGCCGTGTTAAATCAGTTAAACTTGGTAAGCCTTGCTAAGCGCTGCTAAGACTCGCTGGGCCTTGCCAAGTCTGGGTGAGATTTGCAACGCTCTTGGACTTGCGAAGCCGTATGCCCTGCTGAGCTATGCTGAACCGTGCTAAACGCTGCCAGGACCTGGCAGTCCTTGGTAAGCCCTGATGAGCCCTGATTAGCCTTGATGAGCCCTACTGGGCCTACGGAACACTGCTCGGCCCTGTTGAGCACCGCTAAGCCCTGCCAAGCTCTGCTGAGCCCTGCTAAGTCCTGGTGCGCCCTGCCGGGCACTGCTAAACTCTGGTAGGCCGGCGGTGCTAAGCTTGGTAAGCCTTGCGAATCTTAGCCATGCTTGGTAAGTGTTGCCATGCCCCGCTGGGCCTTGCTGAGCCCTGGTACAGATTTCACATCCTAGCCAAACCTTGGTCGGCCCTGCTATGCCATGCTGGGCGTTGCCAAGCATTGCTACGCCCTGGCAACAAGCATTCCTACTCCCTGGCAAGCTCTGCTGAGCACTGTGAGCTATTGCCGCTCCGATTGCTCAATGATGGTAAGTTTTGCAAAACCTGGGTAAGCGCCGTAGTAAGCTTTGCCACGCCCTGGTACGCCTTTCTAAGCCTTGGTGAGCTCTGCATCATAATAAGGAGTCTGTGGTCGGGAATCCTTCGTCCTGAACTCTTGGCAAGGAATCATCAGTGAACGATCCTTACCGAGGAATCCTTACCCTGGTACCTTTATGCAGGATGCCCTAGTAGCGAATCCGTCGACAAGGTATCTGATTCACAAATCAATACTACGCTGAGCCGGGGACCGTTCGAAAATGAATCAGAGGATTCACTGCGTAATACTTTTGTAGGGAGCCCTTAATAGGGAGTCCTTTTATAAGCAATTCATAATGAGGAATCTTGAATCGAAGACCCTGCCTCAGGAATCCTCAGTAAGGCATACTTGGTATGGACCCTTGGTGGAGAGTTCTTAGCCAAGGGCCCTTGGTAAGGAGCCCATCTAAAAAGAATTCTTGTTGCTGTTCAGCACGTAATCTGGATTCCATAACAAGGGATCCTTAATCTCGCATGCGGGACCTCCGCCCAGTACAGCGTTTCATGGCCCCAGAGGGAGCTCCACCAAAGGCCTGGCCCTGCAGGGAGCTCCAGTGACTGCCCCAGTGGCTGCACTCGAATGGGGGCCACTCCCCCAGTACAACGCTTCGTGGCCCCATAGGGAGCTCAACCGAAGGCCCCATTGCCTGCTCTCGCATGCGATTACCCCACCCAGTACAGCGTTTCGTGACCCCGGAGGGCGCTCCAACGAGGGCCCCATTGCCCCCTGTCTAGTACAGCGTTTCGTGGCCCCATAGGGAGCTCCACCGAAGGCCCCAGTGGCTGCACTCGCATGCGGACCCCCCGCCCAGTACCTCGTTCAGTAGCCCCATAAGGAGCTCCACCGAAGGCCCCAGTGGCGGTGTCTGCATGCGGTTCCCCGACACAGTGCAGCGTTTCGTGGTCCCATGGAGAGCTCCACCGAAGGTTCCGGTGGCTGCACTCGCGTGCGTTTCCCCCGCCCAGTACAGCGCTTCGTGGCCACATAGGGAGCTCTACCGAAGGCCCAGGCATGCGCCCCCCCACCCAATACAACGTTTCGTGGCCCCATAGGGAGCTCCGCCGAAGGCCCCAACGGCGGCACCGCCCCATTGCGGCGCCCCCCCCCTCACACATGTCGCGGTCCCAAGGCGGGTGCCGCACAAAGCCCCAGCGGCAGCGCCACATGGCGGCCCTGCTCCACATCGACACATCCTTCGCACGCTTCATGGCTCCATGAGGAGATCCCCCGAAGGCGATACCTGCAACGACGGTGCTCACAACTGCATATGGTCGGGTTTCTCGCCAGGATAATTATTCTAAATCTCCTGGGTTGCCAGCTCTGCTGGCAGCCCAGCAGAGAACTCTGGCCGAGAACCATCGGGAATCTCTCATGGCCAACGGGTACGGTCTTGAGGATGCATCGGGCGCCGAGGTCGTTCCAGAGCGGGCGCTCTGAGAGCGTCCCGGAACTCGGGGTGGACAAAAAGGGGGTTAGCAAAGGAGGAGTTAGCGAATCAGCTCACGTAGTTATCTGACTTTCCCAGCGCATCCTGGCGCCAGAAGCGCCAATGGATCGAAGAGAGCCCCCGGCGGCTGGGTCGAAACCGGCTGTACGCAGCAGACTTCGTACCCCCCCTTTCCAGTCCTCCCTTTCTTCCGACCAGATCTGCGAGCGTCCCAGCGAACCCTGGAACGATCTCTCTTCTTCCTATGCGCTTGCCTGCCTGGCTTGTGCACGCTCCGAGTCTCCTTGGATGCCAGCTCTGCTGGCACGCGCTGTGCAGCAGGTCCAGATGCCAGGCAGTGCCAAGAGGGGGTCAGCACCAGGGGTGTCGCCACCCACTCGAGGACGAGTGAGGAGGTTCCCTGAGGACCCCCCACACACCCCAGAACATCAAAACAATCGAGATCATTCAACATCCTCAATCAATCCTCGATCCTCGGGAGGAGCTGGCGAAGTCCCCAGCTGACAGCCAGCGCCGAGCCGGACGACAAGGGGGGAGATAGCAACCAGGGAGGGGGGCACCGAATCAGCCGCATGTAGCTGAGGGGGAGACGTAAGACTCGGGTGCGGGGGACTCGAGTTGGCCTGACGGGGCTATCATGAAAATGACGAGACCCAATCTGGACTTTGACGCGAGCTCCCGCTGCCAACCTTCCACGGACACTGGACTGTCAAAAAACAAGACGCGCTCGTCCAAAAACGTCGGCAAACCCGAGTTCCAGCTTACGCGAGTCTCGGCGGTGGACAAACCTCCCTTTAGCAAACCTCCCTTTAGTGAAAACAGCCCAAGACCGAACCCGACGGACCTGGACCCGCAAAAATGACGGCCGCGACGCCCCCTCTCGAACCGACGACGGCCAATTCGCTAATCGACGTGTCAGGGTAGGAGGTCTATCAACCTCCGAGAATCTTAAGTTTCTCCGACGCTGGTCTTCCTGGCGCCTCCTGGCGCTGGAAGCGGCCCTGCATCGGGTGACAAGCCCGGCGGCGGGCGGGGCCAACGCCGGGGAGCGAGGCGGGGGGCGCCGCCACGGCAGGGGTCGGGCCTGCGGGGGGTCGGCGAGGCCGCCCCCGAGGCCCTGCAGCCAGCGTTGGCGGCGCGCACGCGGGGGCAGGGCTGGGTCGGGCGTGTCCCTCTGCAGGGGGAGTTGGACGAAGCAGGACACATGGTCAAAAGAAACAAACATCAAACATGGTCAAACATAGTCAAACAAGTCGAACCCCATCCTATTTTTGGACTATTTTTGAATTCTCCTCGTGCAGAGGGACTGGCCCGACTTAAGGGTAGCGGGGAGGGGGGACGGCTTCCTTAGAGTAGAGGGCAGAAAACCCACCCCCATACGAATCACCGCGGCACGCGAAGCCGTTCAGTAAAGGCATCCCCACAGAAGGAATCGAAGAGGGCAGGGCTTTTTAGTAAACGCCCAGGGCCGTTTGGTAAACGCCCATTGTGGGGTCCGTGTGGTTCTTCTTCTCTTGATAGAAGGAAGCTGCTTCTTAGAAGGCGCCGGCCTTACATCTACAGACAAGGCCCGCGCCCTCTAAGAAGCAGGATGCTTCTAAGAAGCCTTCCCCCCTCCCCCTGCCCCCCTTCTGCTCGTGGCCGACACCGCCCTCGCACCGGGAACGCCACACGTTTCCGCCGCAGCGCGGCAGAGCCGATCCGCACGCGCGCTCGAGTCAGCCGGGGGAGGGCGAGCTCGTTGTCTAGGCGGCACGCGGGGGGGGGGGGACGGCGGAGGGCGGCCGCAGAGCCGGGAGGAAGAAGGCAGGGCTGGACCTAGACGCTGTTTTTTCGTTTGGTTTTCGTCTTGCTCTACCTGTTTTCCTGCACCTCCCTCCCAAAACCAAAGACAAAGCACAGCCCAAGTCCAGCAAAGCAGCGTTTGGGTATATACAGGGTACAGCCCTGGGAGGGCACCCGCGGCGCGAAGGCCTTCGACAGGAGTGGCCGGTGCGGCCAGCCCGTGCTGAGCATCCTGGCAGCAGCCGCGGAGCGGCGGGAGCGCCGAACGAGGAGCGAGCGGGGCCTTCCTGGCCGCGGCGGGGCCCTCCGCCACGCCAGCCTGTCGGACCCGAGGAAGGATCCGAAAGCCAGGGGCCCTCCCGAGCCCGGAGTGGCCCGTTGTCCACCGCCTTGGCTTCTGGGGCAGCAGCAAGGCGACGGACCGAGCGTTGACCGCCGGCCCCCTGAGATCCGGCGCTGCGAAACAATATGAAGGGGCCCTGGGACACACAAATAAATACACACAAATAAAACAATTCCCAATATTTTCTGGGTTTTTGACTTCCCCCCCACCTCCCATATTTTCTTGGGGAGTCTACGATTCATTGTGTCTGTGTGTTTCTGTCCCTCCTGAAAATAGCAGCATCGCGGAAGCCCAGGCCCAGAGCCCCGACGCCCAGCTTTCGGATGCACTTTTTCGGGCTCGATCGAGCTGCGATGGCCCAGGGGCCTGGAGCCTGGCGAAAGAACGCCTGGTGGGAAAAATTTGCGGTGCCTGCATCTCAGTCGGCGGCGAGCAGGAGGAGGAGCAGGAGGAGGAGGAGGAGCAGGAGGAGGAGCAGGAGGAGGAGGAGCAGGAGGAGGGGGAGGAGCAGGAGGAGGAGGAGGAGGAGCAGGAGGAGGAGGAGGAGGAGAAGAGAAGGAGAAGGCCCTCTCAGAAGGTGCGGAAGTCCCCCGGCCTTGCGAGGAGTTTTCTGTAAGCCTTCCCCGACGACGAACAACAACTCCTGAGAAGGCGCGAGGGCTTCCGAGAAGTCCCGCCGCCTTCTGAGACGGCCTTCTCCTTCTCATTTCCATCCCTCGCTCGCCGCCGACTCAGGGTTGTTTTAGGCCGGGCGTGTCCTCCTACAGGCGGTTCTTGGACGGAAACATAACAATACTCAAAACATGCACCCAAAATGCTCAGAAGTACAAAAAAATCGTCCCCAGGCTCATTTTTTGACTATCCTTGAATATGCCTCCTGCAGAGGGAGACGCCCGGCGTAAGGGGTGCTCCACCGCCGTGCCCACAGGTGGGGACCCCCCGCAGCACTGCCCGAGGCTGGTGCGACTCGCCCCCCACGGCGCCGCCGGGCGCTGCCCAGGCGCGCCCGTGCTCCGCGGCGGCGTGCTCCAGGAAGGCGACCTCGCCGGCCAGCCGCCGCTGGCAGACCGGACCTCTGCAGGGTGTGCTCTGGGTCGGCCGCCGGGCCGATCGCCTTTCGTGGAGGCCTCCTCGAGTGGGGTCCGAGTACGGGCAGCCCGTGTAGTGAGGAGGCGCGCGACAAGGATGCAAGGGCCTTGGAAGGCCGCTTCGGAGCTCTTCGAGCGGGGCGCGGCCAACGAAAGTGGCCAAGGGTGGACCGAGGAGGCCAGGATGCAAGGGTGCCCTTGGAAAGGGTGCCCATCCTTACCATGCGGGTTGACTGTAGATGGGGTCGGTGGATGGGGCCGCATCACCAATGTATCGCCATTGTATCGCCGATGCATCAGCGACGTCCTCGATGCATCGGCGACGCCCGCGTTGAGAACATCGGGCTCTACATCGAGCCGCATCGCCGATGCACAAGCGATGCGGCGGAATCCTCCGACGTCATCTACTCTCGGCGGATGCTAAATCCAAATGGAATAACTCCATACGGAATGCTCAGTCTCCGTCATGGCTGACTTCGTCTGACTTAGCCTCTCATGGTAGGAGGCTGAGTCCAGATGGAGTAAATCCGTATGCGGAGTAAGTCCATAAGGATCGATCGGACCCTGTTTGGGAGGCCTGGATTTCGCTCACCAGCGGCCACCGCGGGCCAGTCGCCGGTCAGCCGAGCTGGTCGCAGGCCTCGCTAGCCAGGCCAGCCTCTGAGATGCTGGCGTCTCCACTCTTTCGAGCTGGGCGTTTTCGCCCGCTGGCGGGCCCCAGCGCTATCGTTAGGTCGGGCATGTCCTCCTACAGGCGGATTTCGGACGAAAAATAAAGACATACTCAAACAATATGCCCACATAGTTAAAAAACAGCAGCAACATCGCCCCAGACTATTTTTTCAACTCGGTTTTGAATATTCCTCCTGTGTAGAGGGACAGGCCCGGTCTCACACGATCGCAGATCGATGCTGCGCGACAAATGCCGCAGGAAGATTCGGGGATTGACAGACCTCCCTTTAGTAAAACGTGGTTTAGTGAAAACGACCTGAGGCCCAAACCTGGCGGGCGCAAGCCTGGAAAATAACGGCCGCGGCGCCCTCTCGAGAACCGAAAACGGACAATTCACTAATCGACGTGTCACTGTTGGGGGTTCTGTCCACCCCCGGAAGATGGGGTCTCGGGCTCCGGTCGGGATTTTTCGCAGTGCAGTGTTTCGCGCAAGATCGGGTCTCAGAGGCCGCCGCTGCGCCGATCGCCGGGCGGCTCGCGCCCACCGGTGTCGCGCGACGAGACCCAAAACCCACTCGCCGGGCTGCCGATCGCCGCGCTTCTGGCGGCCAGCGCGGGCCGATCACGGCGAGAACGAGCGAGCGAACAGCCGATCGCTGTGGTCAGAAATCACCGATCGCGTGGTCGATGGACGCTGCCGTCCAAACCTCTCACGTCCTGTCTTCTCCATTACGTGGGGCTCCAGAGCTCCCGTCTCCCGATCCTAAGCTTCTAAGGATTCGCTCATGGGTCTTGGGAGCCGAATCGACTCCCTGGATATAAGTAGGTCCTTTTCAGAAACGCCATTCCTACTGTATTTGCTTTTTTCAGAGCGCCGGATTTCTGTTGCGTCAAAAATCAAGACAGAGAAACCAATTGGGGACAATGCGGGCGCCCCAGAAAGAAGGCGCAGCTGCCGAATAATATTCTGCGGCCGCAGGAAGCCTTTAACCACATAAAACATGTACATCCCAAAACATCAATCATCGTGCCTTCGGGCACGGATTAAGCGTGTCCTCAGATCCCATGTTGTAAGCCGTCCGGTTTAAAATGTCTCAATGGGCTCAAGCCCCAAGCTCCCAAATCTCCCATGGTCCAGGGCGGCTTGTCGCATGACTTTTTCTGGCCCTGGATGGCCATCAGGTGGGCCATGAGGTCCCCAAGAGGTCCCCAAAAAGGTCAGAGAGAGCCCCGAGTCGCCGAAAGATCGCTCCAAGACGCCCAAGATGGGCCCTAGACGGCCCCAGAGGCCTCCAAGACGCCCCTAAGAGGCACACATCATGGATTTCCCCTTCGCACATTTCGCATATTTTGGCGTTCTCGCTTTTTCGGCTTCCCAACGCTCCAAGACGGCCCGAGAGGCGCCTAAGATCGCCCCAAGACGGCTCAAGAGGCCTCCAAGAATTCCCCCGAACGGCCCAAGAGGGCATCAGCTTCCACACGATGTATTCCAAACTCGCGCTCTCGCGCGGGACTTCCTCATATTTTTTGCAGGAATCGGGCTCTCGCATGGGACTTCCTCGCAATTTATTCAGACGCCGCGCCCTCGACACTCAAGAATCACGTCTCGTCTTGTCCGTTTCTGACGGTTTACCTAGGAAGCGCACTACTGCTCGAGACTTCCTCACGATTCATGCAAGCTCACGCTTCAACAGCCTGCCTGGTCGACCTCGCCGCCTGGGCCCGCCTTCCCGACCCGCTCGATAGCGTCTGCCCGCCCGATCAGCCCGTCTGGTTCTGCCATGTGTCCATCATTCTGCCTCCCCCATCAATCCGTGCTCCCCTCCCCTTTTGTAAGGGCTGCGCTACATGCGCGTGGGAGGTAAGGAAGACATACCCCCAAATGGGGTACGATCAAAAACGAAAAAGGCGGGCACCGAGGGTTCGGGAAATACGTGTTGAATGGCGCGCGAACAGATACGAGCGAACAGTCTTGACATGATTGTTCTTGTTGTTGTCGTTGTCGTTGTTGTTGTCGTTGTCGTTGTCGTCGTTGATTTTGTCGTTGTCGTTGTCGTTGTGGTTGTTGTCGTTCTTGTTTTTCTCCTTCACAGTTATTGTTGATCCCCCACAGGTGCGCATTGTGTGTTCATTCAAAGTGCCCCCCCTCGGGGCTCGCACCCTGTTTTTACCGGGGGATCTTCATGCTCAAACTGTGCCCCTGGCCCCCCTGGCTACAGCAACAACGCTCCCGTCTAATACTTCCTCACAGTGCATTCCAACATCGCGTTCTCGCGCGGGGCTTCGTCACAATTCATGCAAGAATCGCGCTCTCGCGTGGGACTTCCGCGCATTGAATTCAGACGCCGCGCCCTCAACACTCAGGAATCACGGTCTCGCTTGAGCTTTCCTCACAAATCACCTGGGAATCGCGCTATCGTTCCAGACGTCCTCGCGACTCGTGCAGCCCAGCCCGCCTGCTCGACTTGGCTGCTTGGGCCCGCCTTCCCGACCCGCCCACGAAGGTCAGCCTGCCCGATCTGCCCGTCTGGTTCAGCCGTGTGCTTTCTGCTCCTAGCCCGCCTCCTGCTAATCTCTCTCGTGCTCCATCCTTCTGCCTCCTCCTTCCATCTGGCCTCCCCTCCGCAGTTCTAGGGACTGCACTCAATGCAGGTGGCAAGTAAAAAAGATACACCCCCACTGGGGGGCACGATCGAAGACGAACAGGGCGGGTACCGAGGGTTGATCTTACACGAGCAAATAGGAGCGAACAATATTACACTGGTTGTTGTTGTTGTCGTCGTTGTCGTTGTCGTTGTTGTTGTTGTCGATATTTCTTCCTTCAACTTCTTCTTGTTGGTCCCCCTGCGAGGTAACCATTCGTTCTGTTTCAATTTAAATTCTATTCCCGGGGCTCGCTCCGTGTATTCTCTAACGGGTAGCGAGGTGCCACCAAGCTGCGCTTTTGGCCCCGAACTACAACAACGCTTCCCCCTAATACCTCCTCGCGGCGCATTCATTCCCATATCGCGCTCTCGCCGGGACTTCCTCACA